ATCTTTATGGGCGTCGTTGTATTTTGAGGACAGATCATGCTCCTCTGATATGGTTAAAGAACTTCAAGGACCCTGAAGGAATGTTAGCTAGGTGGCTTAGTGTGATAGAAACCTATGATGTAGAAATCCAGTACAGGCCAGGTCCAAAACATGGGAATGCGGATGCTTTGTCTCGTAGACCCAGCAGGAAATGTAAGAATGAAAGCTGTCCAGACTGTCAGGTGGATATTGATGAATAAGGTATGGGTGGGGGTGCCTTTAACAGTCCGAGCGGCTGTGAACAGTTGCCAGTACTGATTCCACAAAAGGAAGCACCAATTGACTGTGAACAGTCGAGGCTACCTTTATACCCTATAGGTATAGATTCAGATGAATTAAGACAGTCAGGGGGAAGGTGAAGAAAATGATGAGAATGTAGCTAATTGGCTTCCTATATGGACTAGAGACGAGTTGTTAGAGATGCAAGAAACAGACAAGGGGATAGGTCCAATATTATGTAGAATTAAGAATTCTTCGGAAAAACCTCAAAAATCAGATGTCGTATATCTCAACTCAGATTCCAAGCAACTATGATTACAATGGGGAAATTTAGAGTTAGAAAACAGGTTACTCTATCGCAGGAAAGAGACAGGCTATGGGCAGACCTATTTGCAGTTAGTGATCACACCTAAGGCAATTAGGGACACCATATTTGAACACCTACATTCCAATAGGACCGCAGGACATTTTGGGAGGGATCGTACCACAGAAGCTATAAAGAATAGGTTTTACTGGCCAGGCATGACTGAAAGCATTAAGAGATGGTGCAAATCTTGTGACTTATGTGCAAGGTGTAAACCTGGGCCAGGTGTGGGTAAATCTCCCTTAAGGCAATTTCAAGCTCGTGCTCCTATGGAGTGTGTTGCCATAGATATAATGGGTCTATTGCCAATAACCAACAGTGGGAATGAGTACATACTAGTGTTAGGAGATTACTACACTAAATGGAATGAAGCTTTTCCTTTACCAGATCACAAGGCATTAACAGTAGCTGATAAACTAGTATCAGAAGTGTTCAGTAGATTTGCGTGCCCAACTCAAATGCATTCAGACCAGGGTCGAGAGTTCGAATCCGAGTTGTTTGCAGAGGTTTGCAAGTTATTGGGTATTAACAAAACTAGAACTACACCCTACAGGCCTCAATCAGATGGGTTAGTCGAGCGTTTTAATTGAACATTAAAACAAATGCTGCCTATGTATGTAGATGAGGATAGATCCAATTGGGACGATCAGTTACCCTATCTGATGATGGCCTATAGAACCACTGAGCATAAGAGTACAAAATGTAGTCCTAATTTAATGATGTTAGGCAGGGAGATCTATTGTCCCCTAGGCTTAATGGTTGGGAATCCTTCAGGAACAAGACACACCTGTCCAATAGAGTATGTAGAGTGGTTGAAAGATAGCATGCAGAGAAATGTTCAGTTTGCTAATCAACAACTTAGTACAGCTGCTACATCCCAGAAAAGATATCATGATAATAAGTTGAAAGGGAGGGGCTATGAGACAGGCATGTGGGTGTGGCGGTGGTATCCTCCAAAGGTGAACCAGAAATTAGGTTTAGGTTGGACTGGGCCTTATCTTGTGGTTGGGGTGGTCAGTTCACTCACCTATAAAATACAAAGGGAAAGTACAGCCAGAGCTATACATGTACATGTGGATCATCTTAAACCATATGAGGGCATTGATCCTCCAAAAAGCTGGTTAAGGAATCAGAGTTTGAGCACCTCAGGTCTGAACTCTCCAGAGAAGGATGAAAGTGACACATCCTCTAGTGAGGAAAGTTCAGAGGAAAATCCTGATGAACCTGATTTAACTGCACCAGTGGAGGTGAAAACTAGAGCAGGAAGAGTAGTCAAACCTAGAACATTGTATTCTCCATAATACTAAGGGGAACTCTAGGTAGATTAGTGAGAGTTGAAATGTAAATACACATATACTAACTAGTTCTACACTGTAATAGACAGTGAAAGTTATTATTGTTTTTATGAATACAATGTTATGTAGTAGATAGAAACTTAACTATACTGGTATACTTACTCTGTGACACAGGAGATGTCTACTTAGATCTATTTTATAGTACTAGGCAAGTACTTGGTAAAGAAAGATGATAGTCTAAGGGAGATAACCTATTCCAAAAAGTGTAGTTATACAGAGGTGGATTATTGGTATTATTAAATAGTTATGTTTAGCCTACCTGTAGATATACTTATAGTAGTATAACCTAAGTTAGTTGCCTTAAAGTACTTTAGGTAATTTAGGTAGAAAGTTGGGAGAGAATCCTAGTTGTTACTGGTAGCATTTTGGGTTCATATAGATACATGGAAGAAAGAAATAGGTTTTGTTTTTCAGGAAAACCATAACGACTTAACTAAGATGGCCAGCACTCCAGAGGCAGACTTGAGGGTGGATGTGGACCTTGAGGAGCTGAAACAGTTCCAGAAGGTCCATGTCCGCCAGGAATTCCCAAGCTGTGGAATGGCTTGCCCGGTTCCAGGGTGTGGACCGGCGGTGTATCCCAGACTGGGGAGGTACCTGGACCACTGGGCTCTCTACCACGTCCCAAGGAAAACTCTGGTGGGCTGTGACGCCTGCCGTATGGTATTCCGTAACAGGAATAAGGCACAGCGCCACGCTAGGCGACATGTGCCTGAGGCCTCTCTCACCATCAAGAAGAGGCCCAACGAGAAATTTCGGGACCCTGGGGATGTCATTCCACCAAGACTCCCAATAGCAAGGTCCACTCAAATCCAGGCTGAGAGGAGGGCTGCCCAGGAAGCCAGAAGATGGCAAAAGCCAGTCCTAGAAGATCGCCATGGTATAGACCGGGAGCAGATGGAGTATCTATTCGGACATTAGTAAGCGTTATGCAAATTTCCTGGACTAAAAATATTTGTGAAATAGGCGTTATGCATTTGTACAATTCCTTGGATTTATGTGTCATTTGGAACTTTACAAAACCTGGACATGGCTAGAATTATTTTCTCAGTGAAACAAACTTTATAAAACCTGGATTTACTTCAAGAACATTGCCAAACTTAAATGTGGTTTTTTTCAGTATAATATACTAGTTGTTCTGTTATGTTTGATTGTGGTGATAATGATATTGATGATATGCTATTATGGTGCTAAATACCCCTTGTTGTTATGCCTATATGCTTGGACCTAGTCAAGTATAGTCTAATTCATCTTTATCCATCCATTTTGTAGTCTAGTCAGATAGATTAGTTAGTAGTTATCAGTAGATTACATGTTGTTTTCCGTTATTGTTGTTGACAAAGTAAATTTTGAAGTAAAAATATTACTTTGATCTAAGAGGGGAGGAGTGTAAGAGATTCAGTTGTTTACTGATTCTTAATTACCACTGCAGTTTTACTCATGAAATAGGACGTTGTTCTTTTATATCTGTTTCATATTCATGGGTCGGGTAGGGCTTTTCTACAGCGTATGCTTCCTGTGGATCAGTCGCTACTCTCTGTCTGTCTGTTTGTTTACATAGCCGTATCACAGACTTAGATAATCTAATTCCTTGGCCGTATTTAGCAAGTTATCGGTTAGTTGTGCCTAACGAGACGGGAAACGGAAGTAGAGACCGGAAGTTCGGCTTCATCTCTTACTTTACTCTGCATTAACGGTTTGGCCAATCGTAAAAACGGAACTAATGGAAAGTTCTATAAAAGATCATGTTCTTGAGTTGCTCAGTGTCTTGACTGAATGACAGGGTCGGTGAACCGACCCACAGCTTCAGGTGAGGTAAACCTTACCGCTTCATGCGCTGCTAACAGTGCAACCTAGGCCAAGGTGCTGCTAACAGTACCAATACCTAACTACTATGTGGAGTTATCTTTCCTTGGATTTAACAGTATATAGTGCTATAGGAACCACCGTATATGTATGAATGAATAGTCAGGGGCTTCGGGCTTAGACATCGATACATAGTGGTTCGCTGTAGATCTATAGGTATCTAGGGGTACTTGGTTGTAGTTTACTGGTATTGGAAATACTATTAGGCAGGATAGGCCATTGTTTTACATAGGAATTGAGTTACTTAACATTAGCTGTCACTGTTCGACGCTAATGTTATGATCTTCTGTTGTTAATCTTGTTATATATATTCATTCCGTCTTGTTAATAAACAGTTACTTGTATTTTAAACACCTTGTTGAGTCATTGAATCAATTGCTGGTATTACCACTACATCCAGGGTTCGAACCTGTAGTGAAAACAGGTCTGTAACCTGACGAAAGAGGCGAGGTCTAGAGAGGACTGCAGGGGGAAGTTGTCGACTAGTTACCATTGCTAAAAACTATACGATCACGAAACGGATTTGACAGAGTGACAACGGATGCAAAACCCTCTCCCGACCTCCCCCTATTACATATACATATATTTAGCTTATAACATTGCATGGAGACTAATGTCTTAACAATTTCTGTTAATGTTTCATAATGTTTTATATATATGTAATTTCTTGAATTGATGCTTTTTACTTATGTTTGTCGGAATAATAGCTTTTAATGGCTAATGTTAAATGTTTTTAAATATCCTACGTTAAATAAAGTTCATTGTATCGTATTGTATGAGTGTTGACATGTGTCGTGTTTGGTACACTTTACCTACCCATTGTCATCTGCTTTACTTTATTTTACCATTCAGTTCATTTGGTAGTATATCATGATTTAATTATTTCTGCGTTTTAACAAATGTTGCTGACCAAAACTATTTTTACAATGTGTCAGGTTTTTCGCATTCACAAAAAGAAAATCCTAAAACAGGAAAAAAACACTGGTGACGTTGGACTTACAGGAGTTGGGGGCTAACAACTCAATAGGCAGTTCCTGATAGAGTGAAAATAATGGGAACAGGGGCGTTGTTATTTGTAAGTACATGTACTTCCAGGAATAGGTCTACTTTCACTTTTTACAGCATCATTAGGTGAGTATAACTTTTCTTTTAGTTACCTTTTCGTCCATAAGCCGATATTTGCTTCTTTGTGATAGTGTCTTTCAATTCATTCAGTTCACTATCCGTGAGTCTTCCTAAAAGATCTTTACTACCAGCCTTTTCGTCATCATCCATTCCTGAGCGTTTACGTTAGAATACACTTTAGGACGACAAAATAGTGACCATTCTTCAACTTCCAGATATTCTTTTATTACGGGTTAAAATGGATAACATCCGAGTACTTCCGAAAACAAAGTATGTTCTAAACAAGGAGGCAACCATCGGACCTGCGATGACCGTATCGTTCTTATACGCTATATTTAATGCAATTAATACAATTTGTGTTGTCTTTTTTGTTGAAATTTCATGAAATTTTCCATCCATGAATGACATCGTTGAATATCGTTGATAGGGGGAAAAGTAGAGAGCTACTCAGATTTTCGGAGAATTATAACTTAATATCGAATTACTCAATTAGCAATGGGATGAGTCGTTTGATCTTGTCCAAATAATCAGCAAAAAAATCGTGGTCTTGAAATATACTTTTGAGTGTTGTTAAAAAGGACAAAATGAGACATTTCGTGTGGATCGCACGTGTTGTTTTTGTTTACATCGACAACGACTTGTAGGAACGGGCAAAATATCATCTTGATTTTAAGTGGTGGAATATATAGCTTTCTGTAATTTGATTGGTCAATTGATCCAACATGTCTGCCAATGTTCTGGCATGTTCCTGCGAGGACAGCGTCTTTTGCGAATAACTGCCATTCCAGTCTTATATCGGTGTATTATTTACATGTGATACAACACATCTTATCTTCATTTATCAAAAATTCGATAAAGGATCAGACATGCCGCTTGCTATTCGGGATTACACGTGGGACGAAACAGAAAACGCCGTGTTCATTACCGTTCCATTGAAAGGCGTGAAGTCTCATAATGTGAATATTTTCTCTACTGAAGAATATATAAAGGTAATAATTCCATGGCTGAAAAAGTTTGGTATTAAAGTTGTTTGATCTCCGATACCTGTAATCTGATTACCTGTATGCTATCTGTGCATGTACATATATCAGTCAGTTGTGTTTACTTCATGCATAGTTCAGCTGTAGAGGGTGTCTAAAAAAAATCATTAATTTTTGGACATTTGAGATTTCATATTTTCAGTGTTCTTGATTTTTTATGCGTTAGATCAGATTACTCATACTAGATTGATACTTCAAGAACAAAGTTATGTTGCTATACTTTAAATATAACATTTAGTTTAGCTGTTTAAGAACATTTTGAATAGAACTTTGTTATTGGCTGATTGGCAATCAATTACTCATTCAATACTATTCAATTATAGCCTTTGGCTGAGGTCGATACCTGGATTTATTAACCCAAGAAAAGATATATTAACCATGGACGCAGTATATATCTTTTCTCTGGTCGATTAATCCAGGTATTGACTGAAGTTAAAGGCTACAATTGTTTTATTATTTTACAAAAAAGTAATGTAAGCAATCTGGAAAAAAAAGCTTCGGAAGTGGGACGGTGCATTGTTTGGAGACACATCATAATTCTATTTTTAGAAACACCCAGTCCTTCAACAAAAACCACGCGCTCCAAGTCAATATTGTTTTTTAATCGATGGACACGTGATGCACTCCTAGCCAATCACTTGTCGGGAATAATATGAGAAAATAATAATCAATGTTATCTTCATGACCCATGTTATGTACCATACCTTTTTTCGAATATTCTTTTGTCCAATGTTTTGGTACTTAATATCTTAACCAATTATAATATGAAACCTTGGTATGCCTTAGGCCACAAAAAAAAAGATGTCTGTTTAGTGTTCCCGACCGACCCTAGCTTTTTACCCCCGACCCAAAACTTTTTGATGGAAAAAAAACAAAACTTTTGTTTTTAAAAAAACACAGCTGATTTTCGAATAATAGAAGGTTCCTTGCCTTTCAAAATGACTTCCAACTCCGTGTTGGCGCTAAATGTCATCATATGGAGCACAATTTGCCTCCAAATGAACCTTGTTTATGTAATTCTTTGTTTTACATACAATAGTAGGGTCATAATGACATGACCACACATACAGTACACAAAAATATACAAAAAACAAAAAGAATCCGACATACCTACCCTTGTTTTTTTGCCCATGCAACCCAAAACAGACTAATTTATTGTTTTGGCCTTACCTGACATATTTGCCAACTTTTTGAAATGTCCATGGATATCCTATGAATATAAGAATAGTTTAGCAAATTCACTGGTTGAAAATGCTCAATTTTAGGGTCTAAAATTTGGAGTCTCCCTCCTAAATAGGGAGAGTTGGCAAGTATGTCCCTGTACCTATAGGTATATATGGATTGATATTTAAAATCAAATTTTATTTTATTGAGGATGCTCCTGTTTCTAACTTTTCTTATTTAGACAGTGGGAGAGGATATTATTCAAAGCATGTGGCCTTCAATTCCAGTTTCATCTGATTTTAGGTGAGTTGCCCTCCGTATCTGTTTGAGTGCCTTCTCTTTGCTGAAGTGGATGACAGGAAGGGTGTAGCACAAGTTGGAAATGGAGCAGTTGTCTTCAAGATATTTAAAAAGGAACCGGGCATTTGGGGCCAGCTGTTTTCTGATGATTTTAGTAAGTATACACAGTACACTCAAAAACCAAATAAATATGAAGAACAATTGTTTACTTAGTATGTGTTCATTTACCTGTAAATTAATTTATTTTATTTGATATACACCTTTCTGATTCATATTCAGAGATAACAAGCAACACTTACAGTATTCAGGCTTGTAGTGATTATGATCATCTCATTGACGCCAAGAGGTTTAAATTGTATCCGAAATATTCAACCAATTGCAAATATTTATAAATAATAGTGATAATTTTTTCGTTGTAATTCTTAAATTTAAGAGTTTCTGAAATTCTAATGAAAAAAAATGATACAACTTTGGACTCTTCAGATTTCTGCTTGAATTTATCACTATAGTTGTGAATTATATATAAATATCATGTTTGCATCACAATATTAATTATTAATTATGATACCATTTTCATCAATTTATTTTCTGAAAGACTTTTTGATGAGTTAATAATGATCAGGTATTTTGTCACTTTTTTTAAACATTGATGTCATTTCTGGGACTTTTCCTGTTTGTGTTGTATCGGTGATGTCAAGAAAACCAAAATATCAACAATAACACAAAATGACCCTTGTGTTTTATTTACCAACCAGTTTTTCATCTTCGCTAGCCAAGTGTTCGCTTCGTATACACTCCACTACGTAAGTAGAGTATAAACAGAGCGAACACTTGGCTAGCGAAGATGAAAATGACATGGTAAATTACATCATGATTTCAAATAGAGTTCTCCATATCCGTTATGTCACTGAATGTATGCGTTGACTGAGACAATAACGTGTTTAAGATTATCCGTTGTGGAATCCAAGATTATTTTGGAGGGTAGATTAACCACTGAAAAACAGCATTCAACTATTTTATTTCAATATAAACCCCATTTGTGCGTTCAAATGTTGCTTGAAATCTGCTAAAAGATATGTTACAAAAAAAAGTAAAAAATATCATAGTATTTAATCTTTCTTTAAAATGTAATGTCTGGGGGTAGGTAAATGTTTGAATGAAATAACCCTTGTGTTTTATTTACCAACCAGTTTTTCAAGAGGGAAGAACTGCAGGACAAAATATAAAATAATATAAACGAATAAACGAAATACATAAAATGTCTGCTGCTTGACAAAATAATGTAGAATATCATAGCTAAACTGCTCTATGTAATGAATAAATAGAGATTGAGCAAATAGTAAAATGCAGGCAATTCTAGATCTACTGAAGAAATTGTTCGTGTTTTTTTTGTATACTGTAAAATTTATTATTTTTTCAAAGGAGAATATTATGTGATGAATATAGATTTTATTTACCCAGCAAACAAGGAGGTGATGAAGATGAAGCGAGAGGAAGCTCTAGTCAGAAGTCAGGCCAGAGCAGAGGAAGAAAAGTCAGAGAAAGATGAGAGGAAACGTACGGATGGAAAACTAGCTCTCAATGAAATGATGAGGGTAGGAGTAACTCCTTTTATATAACCATTTATTTTCTTTAATGAAATAAATTTAAAAAAATGTTTTTGACCTCAATAACATTTAAAAGTCCATCTCAAGCTCTTGATGTTAAAGATCCCTGTACCATGCACTGTCAAAAACTGTAATAAAGGAATTGGAAACTTTTTTACTGACATGAGCCCCCATCATCAGTTGGTGGGCTATTCAAATCACCCATCATTCACATCCTTGATACTCAAGGGGTTAGCTCACTTTCACTCTCTGCAACCCTAGAATATGTCAAAGCAAAATTGAAGGCACATGGCTAGGTATTTGATTGGTAAAAAAAACCTGACCAATTATTAGGCGCCTCTGTAGTCTTCAGTTCAAAGGCCTGTCCTTGAAGACTATAGAGGAACAACAATCAACTTCAAAGCCTGTCAATTTTACTGTTGAGCAACCAAGAGATTCTTTTGATGTACATCAGATGATCAAACTGAAGTCTTCTCATCTCATCCACAAGGTGGTGCACTATGCACTAAGCCTGCAATCATGACATATTTCAGGGATGCAGAGAGAGAAAGTGAGCATAATCCCTGGAGTATTGGGGATTATCACTTGTGGTCCATTGCCTGTTCATCTTTCATCCTAATACAATTCTTGTTATTGATATTACTCAAGAAGAATATTGTGCATGTTATATTTTGGGTCTGATTACATAAACAAGGTGGCTTCCAAGCAATCATATTTAACACATTTTTTTTCAAGATATTTTCATTTAAAGATGTAGAGGTGACTTAATTTTCAATCAAAGTATTGATAGTCACACGCATTTTTCGTTAATAGCATTTTCATTTGCTAGTATAATGGTAGCCAAGATTTTTAGGAAAAGTTAACATTATTTTTAATTAAGTTTCTAAAATCAGTAAAAAAAACCACATGCATATTTACAATTTTTTCATAATCATCAACTCATTCACCCCTACATTTTCAAAATGGACTTGCACAATCTTTGATTCGAAAACGTTCAAGTGTTCTTTAGGGGATAGAGGGTCAAACAAATAAAGTTGTTTAAAAGTTCCAACCTTCTTAAAATCCATGACATTCTTCAGACAAACGGGTGGTGACTTCAGGAACCTGTACGTTTTCATAGAACCCTGTTTTTTTTACCTATAGAAACATCTTATGGTCATTCAATGATTGTTTAGAACAAATGCTGAAAGTAAATGTTTATTTATTTTTGCAGTTAGAAGAACAAGAAAGGTCTAGAATTGAACAAGTAAAGCAAGATGAAATCAAGAAAGCTACAGATGACTTGGAGAGATGGAAAGATGAACAAAAACAGTTGGCAGAACAGGTAAAGTTGGTACCTTACACCAGAGACGTATAAAGCCACTGTGTGTTATATACGTCTCTGCTTACACCAGTAAATCTTTACATGTATATTGATGTAATTCGGTATAGCAGGTAAATTTAACAAAGCCTAAATGTGAATTAGTTTACCCCCTGTGACATATTTGGGAGGGGGTATACTAGAATCAGGTTATCCGTCTGTCTCTCTGTAGACCAATCTGATTAAAATCATGTTTCATGGCTTCGTTAACTTCGTACTACGCCATGTAACAGATGATTTTAATCAGATTTTCTGTAGACACAATCTTGTCCACACAACTCCTTCTACAGTTTTCTGAAAAAAATCATAAAAACTCCTCTGAAGTGGTCAACACAATCTGAAGTTGTGCACCTGCAATTAAAATTTTGATCTGGCCATTTTGTTTGGGAGTTGTCCCCCTTTTTCTGATACTCTTACATATGGACTTTATAAATATACGTATGTATATTTGTCTGAAGCACTCCTACTTACCGTCTCCTACAATATTTTTGTACACATGGTACACGACATCAGTACCTTCTGTAGTTTTGCACTGGTGATTTATTTTGGATTTCCACTACTTCTAAAGGAGTTATGCCCCTTCTCTGGTTTTTCTTCTATACATTTTCTCCAAAGTAGTCCATACTTGCCAACCCTCTCTTTTTAGGTAGGAGACTCTCTAATTTGGAACCTTAGATTCAGGGTTTCAACCAGTGAATTTGCTAAACTATTCCTATATTCTCAGATCTAATGATTACATCTGAGAGAACAACTTAAAATTTGCCATTTTAAAGGGTTATTTTGTCTCTAGGGGGTACATACACACATTTTATTTACAATGTATGTTTTAATTTTGAGCATGTGAAATCTCCCCCATGGAAATTTCAAAAGATTTGGCAATTACGAAGTACTGCTACTTCCCTCTTGATCAATATTTATGAAGCTTTGTTCTCATGATCAATACCCTTGTTGGTTGTTCACCTGAAGTAGTGAGGTGGACGTAAAACCAATCAATCAATCAATCAATCAAGTTCATCTCTGATTTATCTCCTTTTTTTCCATCATCTTGACAGCAGTTATGCCCCCTTTCTGGTTTCCATTTATAGATTTTGTTGAAATCAAATCCTGATCTATTAACTCTTAAATGAAAATTGATGTAACAGATTTTCTTCAGAGGGGATGGAGGGGAGTTTAGCTAGCCTGTGGTTCACAATGCTAGTAGTTTTTGAATTGTATAAATACTTAACATGACCATCTGTCTATAGGAGAAACAGAGAATCATCGAGGAGCAGAAAGCTGCAGATGCAGTACTCCGAGAGGAACGTAAGAAAAATGAAAGGAAGAATAGGAAGAGTGAGTATAATTTTTCACATGGCTTTTAAGACACGTTTGAACTATGTTGTGCATTTGACCCTGTCTATGACAAAATGTTCCTAGAACTTCTTATTGAAGAATTCCTTTACATTTTTTAAACACAAATCACTATTGAGTTAGTAGTGAAATCCCCTATTTCCAAAACATTTTCTTCTGGTTGGTAAATATATATTGCATAAAGGTTCATATAGCACAACCAGTGAAATATTTCTGTCTTAATGTTTTGATGACTTTTATGTTATTATGCACTCTGTCACTTTCATCAGACATCATACATTTTACAAACATGATTCAATGATTATCAAAGTATTTAACAGCCGACAAAGCCAACCTTATAAAGATACTCAGTATTTTACTATAGTGAAAACAGAGGGCAATTTGAAATAGAAATATAATGTAAACTTAGTTTGAAAGTATCTCTAAGATTCGTAGACTTTATTTTACTTACCATATTCATCCTGCAATAAGCCCAGGGGATAGAGACAATCTCTTATTGAAAGTAGGGAGATGGGCAAAGAAAACACCTTTTTTGGCATTTCTTCCTAACTGTAATATATTGGTGGGCTTATTACCAAGCATGGGCTAATTGCAGGATAAATACGATAATTTAATCAGACATACCCTCATTTTAACTGATTTTATTTCTGATGCAGACAAGAGTGCCATGATATTTGAGGAGACAGCAGGTGGGATACCCAAGAGAGAGGTGGGGAAGATTGAAGTGTCCTTCACGGCTCGAGTGTTCCCGACGCCAGTTAGGGAATCACAGACACCGCAGGAGGACGAGGTACATCAGCTTGTCTATTTACTGACTTCCTTGTAAACTATTTACAGTTTTTACTGCCTCTAAATGAACCAACAACTTCAGAATATTGTTACCAATTTACAGACTATGGAACTGTTTGTTGACTTGCATACATGGTTGTTTCAAATAATTTTGTACCTGATGTAGCACCATCTTTTATAACTTTCTCACATGCAAACAAAAGAGCCAAGTTTTACTACGATATTTTTCAATTATAGCCTTTGGCTGAGGTCGATACCTGGATTTATCGACCCGAGAAAGATATATTGACCGAGGATGCTGTCCGAGGTCAATATATCTTTTCTCGGGTCAATAAATCCAGGTATTAACCGAAGATAAAGGCTACAATTGTTTTATTATTTTCAAAACAGTAATGTTAGCAATCTGAAAGAAAAACATAGCAAAAAGCTGCGGAAGCGGGATGATGCGTTCGTTTGGAGACACATCATAATTCTATTTTTAGAAACACCCAGTCCTTCAACAAAAATCACGCGCTCCAAGTCAATATGGGTTTTTATTGGTGGACACGTGATTCACTTCTTGCCAATCACTTGTTGGGAATAATATGAAAAAATAATGATACGTATTATAACATTTCAATAAAGATTAATTGTTATCATGAATTATAAGAATAAACCATTTAAATATCCCCATATAATTACATATATCTAAAACTGATGACAAAGTGAAACTCAATTTCGTAAAAGTGTTAATGAGAATTTTTTCCTGAATTTTCAATTTTCATTTTTTTTAACAGTGGCTAAAGAAACAAGCAGAGTCAAGAAAGATCTTGGAATTACAAGATAAAGATTTAACGGAGGAAGAGAGAAATCCCATGTTTCTACGTGATAAGGGAAAGTAAGTTATTTTCAGTTTGCAAAAAGAATTAGCAACATATCAAGTGAAACGTATGAAAGAATTGTTCCCAAAAGTGCTAAAAGGAAAACTTTGATATCCATTGCAAGAAGAGGAGGTGGAAAATATAAGGCCAAACAAAAAATATTTTCCGGTTCCGGTCACCCTACCTACACTAATTTTTTGTGTCTATCCTAAACTTTTTAAGGCAATTTTCAAAGAAGGACAGTTAAAGTCAAGATCACTTTCCCATATAAACCAATAAAATTATTTGTTAAAATAAAATGTGTTACCTACCTACCCTAGGTTGTTCCCACATGTTACAGGAAACACATGTATTTCTATGTTTGGCCTAACAAGTGGCATTTTTGTTGGGATTTTTACTGTATAAACAAACAAAGTTATTTTACTTGGTTTGATACAGTGTAATCCCTGTATTCAAGTTTCCTTCAAAATCTTGAGCACCTAACCTAGTCAGTGCACTGGTCTATAAATTGTTTTAATTTCAACAGATGAAACAGTTTTATTATGAATACAATTGAAGGTGTACAATTTAATAATTCTAGAGTACATGCTCTATCTCACAGGCAGATTTTTTAAAAATTCTACTAGACCAACATATATATATTTTATGATAAATTTTGAAAATTCCCACAGCATGATATAAAATCTACTAGCACAATGGCATGATGAAGAAATGGCATAGTGCCTTATGTACAGATGCCTGTTATATTTGGGTGAAAATTTACGACATTTTACACCCTTGACAATATTCAGGATGTATGAAAACAATGAAACAATACATTTCTGTGCCTTTTGTACAGATGTATTTTATATTTGGGTGAAATTGTACAGCATTATCATTGTTCAGGATATTAAAACCTAATAGATCATACACCCTGAGAGTTTAACCCAGTTTCCTGCTCACAGTAAGAACAGATGTGGTTTTCATCTGTATCTGGACATACTACTTTGTATACCCGCACACAAGTTGTTTTATAAGACACTGCAGTAACTACTTTGTCCTTCCATGTGTCAAATGTAATATTTTTTAGTAGAAAAAAAATCAATATATTGTGTTTTCTCTTTTTTTTCAGTGGATTTTTCCAGGCCGGGAACTTCCAGAGTGCCATCAATGCATATACACATGCTCTCCGACTGAATCCCAAAATGCATGGGTATCCTTTTATTGGTCAAACATATGCATACTGTTACCTATCTAAACGTTAATTCTTAAATGGTCCTATTTCAAGTGTATTCTGATCAATATTGCAATGAGGACACATATGGAGATTTTAACTCATTCACCCCTGAAGACACAGTTGAACTCCTCCAATTCAAAAGTTGGAATAGTTCATTATGAAATGTTTGGGGGTGAATGAGTTAAGGACCAATAATTTACTCTGACCCATACATATTTTTAGAAAAACCCGGACACAAATGAAAGTGTTTCCAGGATATAATGGTATGAGAAAAACTTACAATAACACGACACCGATAGTGCAATAACAACACTATCTATAGCAAATTTATAGAAAACTTACACAGGTAAGTAAAAAACATATTTGGAAATAGGAGGAAAAAACTATGGTATATAGTAGATACTAGTAAGTATACCTGAAATTTGAAAAAGCGTGTTAAACATTTATAGCAAGTCTGTGGAATAATTGTTCGTTCTGCGAGTTGGTATTGGTTGTTGGTGACAAGATTTCAATTGTAAAGTCATTTAAAGACTTTTCCATGGACTTTGGATTATGACGTCATAATGAAACATTGTCATCAGATTGTGATGTAATAGAAGTTAATGTCATATTTGAGTGCACCCTTGTGAGATACACATTTCTCTTACCCAGGACAGGTGAATCCGCACTTTTACTGGTTAGAGATATCCTTGTCTCACCCTAGGGTTGAGGCGGCAGGGATTCCCTTTATTTTATAACAATGGTATGACGTCACGTCAACAATTTATCAATGTCACATCAACCCTGAATTTGTATATGATACACAATGGGAGAACAGGGTAAGAGAAAAAGAAAGTTTCACCCCCTTGGGGTCGAGAGATTCTATTAATCCCATATGAGCAATCTGTATTTGTTATCTTTTCTGGAATTTGTTTAGTCAATCTGTTATACACACACACACACACACACACACGTACGTATCTATAAATACTTGGATTTGAACTGGTTTGACCTATACCACCACCCTTAACTTTAAAATAGCTTGTACTCAAATCGTGCAGCTTGTCATCTTAAATTGAGAAACTACTTCAAATGTATAGAGGACTGCAGCAAGGTATGTACATTTTATATTATGATTATAAATGTAATATTTTGGTGGCATTGTAATCAGCGGCTCCATCAATAAGTGGCATCATGATTAGTGGCTTCATCAATTTTAGCCGCATTATAATCTTGAGCTCCGGGCATCAACTGCTGTGTCATTTGTACTTATAAAGTAAACATCCTTGATAAGAGTAACACTCAGAGCTGAGGCTGTTAACCAAAGACCCAATCAATAACTGCTCAACACATTTTAGTGGCAACCAGTGGTGTCATCAGTTCTATTATGAATGCATGCATATCTGTCGAAAAAGTATTTAAACATTTATCAACTTTGTGCAAATAGGTGTTCAAGTTTTGTTTTTCAATGTGACAATTTTTTTAATTATTATCTAGACATAACATGCAAAGACTTTATCGATAGCATTGGTTGAAGAATATATAATAAAAATATCTGTATAAATGTATGCGTTTTATACGTAGACTTGACTGCTAGATGATTTTCATGTAAAAGACACACCAACAAGCTCTATCAAGATATAAATACAGAGATTGATACATCCCCAATAAATAAATAAGTTGATTATTTGCCAAAAATTGCCTGTTGACAGTTTTTTAGCTCACCTGCCCGAAGGGCAAGTGAGCTTATGTTATGGTGCGGAGTCCGTCGTCCGTCCGTCCGTCGTCCGTCGTCTGTCGTCAACTTTTTGCTTTAAACAAATTCTTTTCGGTAACCAAAAGGCCTAGGAAGATGATATTTGGCCAGTAGCATGCTGGGATCAAGGGCTACCAAGTTTGTTCAAATAAATGACATTGATCAACTTTCAAGGTCACAGGGGTTGAAATATGTTAAAATCTTCAAACAACTTCTTCTCAATAACCAAAAGGCCCAGGGTACTGATATTGGGCCTGTAGCATGCTGGGATGAAGGACTATCAAGTTTGTTCAACTGAATGACCTTGACCAACTTTCAAGGTCACAGGGGTCAAATGTCGTAAAATCTTCAAGCGACTTCTTTTCAATAAGCAAAAGGGCCAGGGTACTGAAATTGGGCCTGTAGCATGCTGGAATGAAGGACTACCATGTTAGATCAAATGAATGACCTTGATCCACTTTCAACCTTATGTTCCTTGTTCGACAGTCAAGGTCAGAGGCGTCATATGTTTAAATCTTTTAATAGGTTCTTATGAAATCTTAAGATTACAAGTGTTAGATTAATAACAGGTGAGCGATGCAGGCCCATTGGGCCTCTTGTTTTATTATAATGATGATTGTCTGTCTGTGTGAAACAGGCTATGGACCTACTGCTGCCACCCGTACCACAGAATGCTGCCAGTCGTGTGAAGGCCCTCGTCAGGAAGGGTACGGCCTTCTGTGAGCTCGAGATGTATGTGGAAGGTGAGTGATACATAGAACCTTCTGTTACCTAACTCATTGTTATTTGTTTGTTTATTTGTGTTTATGTCCATTAAAAGCTATGGTCATTAAAGGACGTGCAAGGTTTCAGTTGTACCGAAAACCAGGGTACCTGGAGAATAAAACTACCAATCTGGCGACTTCCCCATGTAGGTCTCGAACCTGCGACCCAGTGCTGGAGGGCTAGTGATCATAGACAGTCAGATGCCTTAATAACTCTGCCACTGCAGCCCCCTCATTGTTCATACTATTTTGATAACAAATACAATGTTTTTCATGAGGAACAGATGCTGTTTGTTTAATTTGGCAGCTACAGTATAACAGATAATTTTTTGCCCCAGGTCGGTTTTAGCCCTTCATCTAAAAATCAGTATTTTCCCCATGGTAAATGCCCTTCATATGTTTGTTTGTGGTATTTGCTACCTGGGTTGCAGGTTTTAGGCCTACGTGGGGCAGTCACTATGTACAGGCAGCAGGTTCTTCTGTAGGTACTCTGGCTTTCCTCCACTACCAAAACCTGGCACGTCTTTAAATGACCATCAAAAGCTGTTAATAGGACGTAAAACACAAACAGCAGTTTTTGCTATTGTAACTATATGGTATGCTGTGTACTACTATTCACTGTCAAGGTGGAGGACAAAAAAAGCGAAAGTAAAATTTCGGCAAACATTTCCTGGTATGCAGTATATGTAAAGCAAAGCCTGGTCCTGTTACCTTCAGTTGAAGCTAAATGGGTTTGCTGTATTACTCAGATACTCAGGGAAAGAAAAAAGGCAATATGTCTGCCAAAAACCTGGCAGGATTGTCATCAGACCTCTTCATTAATGGTGTCTGGATTATTGCTGTTCATGATGGGTTTCATGATCTGTGTGGAATTCAAGTTGTTGAGAGTTGAACCCCTCGCACACCCTTATCTGAGGCACAGGACTCTATAGATTCATGAAAAAATATTAAAACTTTTATGTAAATATCTTACCTTGGAAAATATGGTATTTATTTGCTACTGATACTTTTTGCAATATCTTGGACTTTTGTGATAAAAGATAATTAAACAGTTGTTCTCCATATATAGTTGTTTCTTTGATGTTCTGAATTTTCATTGTAATAATTAATTAGTAAGAACACAACAAAAAGAAGCAAAAATAAAATCTATCAAACATATTTTTTCCTTTGGGCCTGGCAAATACATTACCCCTAGTTCTAACTACAAATGTGCGAAATCTGTAACTGAAAAAAAGCAACTTTTCAAAGTAAATATTAGATTGATTACATTTATTATAAATTTACTGATTCAGCAGAAATTTTATTGAATTCCTTTACCAGTGTTTTTAATGAGCTAATTTATATACAGCACTATACTGCATCCTTGTTATCCAAAGTATATTTCACTGAAGGAAAACATTGGTGAGCTTATATTTGATTGCACTGATAAATTGATGTACCATTGAGTTAATAGTTTAATTTGATATAAGTATATTTGATAATTATGTATCTGCTTTGTAGGACTACAAGACTACGAGGCTGCTATGAAAATAGATCCCAACAACGAACAGTTGAAGTCAGATGCTGAAAGAATACGACAAGTGATCCAGAGCAGTTCTGGCAGTTGATGATATTCAGGATCTAATAGGAAAACCAAATATAAATTTTATGATGTTTTGCAGCTTGACATCCTGCAAAAATAGCAAACTGAAAGATTTTAAGACTAAACTATCATCCGGAGTAAGTGTCATGCTGAAGGTGAGACATTGTCCTTGTTGAGAAGACTTAAGTTCTGGATAAACACCCAACTTGCCAGTGAAAATCGTGGCCAAGGACAATTGTTTTCATTAAACAAAACAGTTTCAAAGACATGTGAAGTTTTTACAATAAAACCATGCAATGAAATTTCCCTGATCAAGAGATTATCAAATTGACAATGTGACATCATTTGCACGACTATTAGCTTAGAATTCATATATATTTGGCAGAATTAACGGAAAAGATGCTTTTTAAGTTGTTTTAAATGCTCTGTTCCTTTAAAGCAAAATCTTGTGCAATGAATCCTGTTTTCATGAGTATCATATTTGACAGGAAGTAAGCCCCAACCCATAGAGAAAAAAAGATAGACAAAAAAGTAAGCCTCAGTTAGTAATGACGAGATCACAATAGTAGTCAAATGACATTTAGATGGGGCTTTCAGTTCATATATATCATTGTCATCCGGTTGTGACGTCATGATAGTAAAGGTGTGCTCTCTATGGGAAATGAGTATGTTACATATGTTTAGGTGTGGGAAAATTATCTCCTGAATCTTACTCTTGCCAGCTCCAAGTAGAAGTGCAAAGAAAACATAGACTATACCATTGAATGTAACTCAAATTCATACCTCAACTTCTTATTCCTGATTGAGGAAACTGCTCCAGAGCAGAAAGGTGTATTTCTAAATCAATGATTAGAATAATGTTTTGGGAAACAGTGGTTCCTTACAAGTAGTGGGTGGTTGCCAGTTGCCATGGTATCACAAACTATTGCTTTGTGTCAGGTTTAAATAGTTGGTGGTATCAACACTTTAAGTTATATTTACTAAAAACTGTTGCCAGTATTTGTAGTCGATTTAGTGATAGGGGGCGGGCTTATTAAAGGAGAGTAACATAGAATTTGTTGACATTTCTACATAAATGCAATAGATATGGTGGGCTTATTACCAGGCATGGGCTTATTTCCCACGAAATGTGAAATGATAAATGAAATAGTCAAACCTGTATAAGGATACCACTCTTACTAAGAAATCAAAAAATGGTCTCTTAACGCATTTTATTTTTCTGAATACAAGTTCAGTTCATGATTGTATCACTGTTATTGGGAACATTTGAGGTGGTAACTTAACACAGGTGGTCTCTTTATACAGGTAGTCACATGATCAATTGTGACTGGATATGATATTTAAATAGGAAAGGCATTAAAGCTGTGGATGAGATGTTAATGGTTAACTCATTCACCCCTACATAATTAAACTGGACTTCCCCAGCCTTTAATTTGGTAAGGTTCAAGAGTGACTTTAGGGGTGAATGGGTCAATAAGGCCAACATTTTTGTTTTGATCAAATTAATCAGATCTTAATTTTACAACAATGGAAAAAAATGAAAAATGAAGATTTCCTTATTTATTTTTTTGTCTTTCGTATTGCTGATTTCTTATTTTGTCAATTTCATTTGAATTGTTTTACGAAAAATCCACAAGAATGTTTTGGTGAAAATCTGATCCACAGAATGAAGGAAAGTTCAAAATTTGTAAAACTAAGCCTAAAAGTGTGCCTTGTGTGTTAGGGAGAGTGTGGATGTGTTATTTAGTATACCAGTGTTACTTTCTGTTTTCAAACATTACCATGGCAAAATAAGCTGCATTCCGTCCAATATCATGATGTTTTTACTACCTAAATACACTTATCTACATGAAACATTCATTTTCATATTTATGTATTTATTGAATGCTACTGAAAACACATTCCATGCTATTATAAGAAAATTGAATGTGAAATAAAATGAAAATGTAAATGGTTGTCAGCCTTACTGTTATCAATAGAAATGGTTGTCATTCTTGCAGATTTCCTATAATGGACGATGATGCTCATCTTTCTATGCTCAGCAATTATGGTTATGTGATGGTGATATCAAACGTTTCAAAGTGATTACCCAATGGCGAAGTCGCCAAGGGTGGGGTCGCACCTTTGAGTCAATCCCAGTAGCATCTGTGTAGTTATCTATTTTCTTTCATGCTCAGCAACAATTATATATATATATTGTGATAATGAAGTTATTTCAACAACTTCCGTGTTATGACCTTTTGTACAATTTTGAATCCCCACTATCTGAAGATACTTTCGACCAAATATTGTTTATATCTTCATCATATAAATCGCTTAAAACGATATTACAAAATGATCCCTTTTTTGGTTCTTTTTATTTTTTGCTTTTTTTTCACTCATTGTCATCACCTTAAGCTGCTTCCAACCAAATATGGTTGATATCCAACTCATAGTTCGAAAAGGAAAGACGCTAAAGCAGCATGGCCAAAATACACGCCCCGCCCCTCAGCCACTCCATTTGTGCAATTCTGAATCCCAATCTCATACCCATTTTTCCAGTTTTTGGTTAAATTTCGTTATGCGATTAAGAAGAAGTCGTTAGAAGATATTATTGACGAACAAATGACGCTGCAGTGTGGCATAAGCTCACTATGGACCTAAAGAGCAGCTGAGCTAACATGTCAATAGCAACGACCTGTAACGGCGCATACTATGCCAATCTCTGGTGACGGAACTTAACAAGTCAGTTACATTAACATTTGTTGGATCTGAACACGTCAACATCGAATCAACGTCTAATGCTGATACGCAGATGAATTCAACCAAATTTCCAAACAGAAAAACAAAACAAAAACACTGCTTGCATACACTTGTCCCCCTACCATGACCCTGCCTCGTACCCGCTCTTGAATGAATCCACTGAGGACAAGGGCTAGCTACGCCTCTGACCATGCTTACTGTGTCAAACTCGAGCTCTACAGCCAATGATCCGCGATTCCCAAGGACCGGTACGGAACTCGACAGGTGCCAATCCCAACAAACGGTGACGGATCTCCAATTTCCAATCCCCAACAAAGGACGATTGAACGCTACATTCCAATCACTAGGACCAGTGACTGGGCTTTTTTTTATGTCAATCTCCACATCCGCTGACATCGTAAGGTATCCGTATCCGTACAACCAGTAAGGACACTTAACAAGTCGACCCCATCATCCTGGGAATGGGTCGGATCTCAGCCAAACATTATCTTCAAATGTGACAAATTATCTGATTATATCAAAGTTATGGTAACGTTTTTCTGCAATTGAGTTGCCGACTTGCGACTTAATGGTGTCGACATTATCTCTGAATTACAAAGGTAAATTAGCGCACCACATGGTATGATACTATAGAGGTGGACACACGGAAATAGCCCCTCATATTCCTTGTGTTGAACCGGATCCTGTGANTAACCATGGGTCCCAGGATGTTGATACTTTGCAAGTTGCATCCTGAGATAAAAGGCTATAAAATTTGTTTAACATAATGACTTTGTTCGACTTTCAATCACAGGTTCTTTTGAATGAATTTTAATCATAAATACTGATATTTTATTTTGCCTGTAGCTTTATTTTAGATCACTTTTAAGGTTACAAGTGTGAGATTTATACCAGGTGAGCGATGCAGGCCCATTGGGCCTCTTGTTGTAATTAGATTATAACTTATCAAATTCCTCTTCAGTCGTACTAACGTCTTTATGCATAAAAAGTGTATTAGTAGTTTCCTTTTACATTGAGCTGCCACTCTTTCACATCCCAAACTTATAAGGGCCATTACGGGAGAGAGACATTGAATAATTGATCAATATTACACACATATGACTGATTAATTGATAAATCGGATGTTAACGCACCGTCGGCACATAAAGTTAAACAGAGAATTCACTTTACCAAATTATCAATTTGGTGTCTTGAAGACAATGCAAGAAAAGAAGAAACACATTAAACTCAATTTCTGTCGTTTTACCGCTTTATATAGAGCCATACATGTAGACGAAGACAACAAACTAAACAGTCAACAAAGAGGGGTAAACATAACATCTTTGATGAAATTATAAAGGCGTACACCAGGGTGCCAACTTAAGTGGTTTGAAATGCTAGACTATTTGTGTAAGATAAAATTTAAACTTTTATGATGTTTGTTCAATCATTGTAAAAGCTGAATGCGAAACTCCTTAAATTAACTTCTTGTTGACATTCCTTGCCGTTAATCATATTAACATACTCTAAAATTATAAGCGCTATTTGGAAGTATTGATACACGGAAAGATAGTTTAATTGTTCTTTGAACTTTTCGAACGCAAAGTCCAGACAATAGCTGCTTCAAACACCGTTTTTTTTCCAAGTTGTATACTCTGAAGAAAACGCTAAAAAAACAAATACTTTATGATGATAGTTTATTTAATTTCGTAATTACTGAAGAGTATAAGAAACATAGCGGAACACTTTATACATCACCACAGTAAAGGTATGGAAGAAACACAAATCAACAGTAAATATAAAAAAAGATATTGACATATCCGAAAATTTAAGGATTCCCATACCACTGCCAAAACTGTAACTATGCATGCATTGGAAACCTTTTCCCGACATGATTATAGTTTTGATAAATCATTTTAAAGAAAACCATAACTTTGTGGAACTTTGAATATAATAAAGCTTAAATATAAACTTTAAAAAACCAACAATATTAATACAAAAAAAAGAGTTCCGAGTCAGTGTAAAAATGTAACTGTGCCATACCAGGATTCGAACCCTGGACCTCGGATCATCAAACTGTCGCTCTAATCTACCTAGTTTCCTGGTTAACTGTAGTACAGTACCACAGCCCAGTCACACTATAGTTATAACAAATACGAAATTCAGAAGTTGAGGTTACTCAAGTACAAAGCAATTATACAATAGAATTCTCCTTTTTTGTGTGTTTTGCCTTCAGTGGGGCAGGAATCCTTCACATATTGCTATCGTCAAAGTCAACACAGTAACTACACAGCTATCAATTCTGTTATCTGACTACGGTGTCGTGCACACGCATATCTATTTTTTTAATTTTCTGCAGGAACTTACTGAACGATGCAATAATAAAACTTGAGCAGGATACACTATACAACACCAATGGGAAATAGTAATACAATACATCATAAAAACATTATAATGGTATATACAGCACACAATTTTCTGCAAATCTACAGCAGTTGAATTTACGACAAATCGTTCCCGTGACTATGTAGAATATGACGTCTGGCAGAAACTGTTAGGAAAAGCGTCTCATTGACAGACCGACCACATTGATGTATGGTGTGATGAAACGTTTTAATCTATGCAAAACATGTTATACTTCACTCACTCAAAGTCGGAAATCAATTTGACGGTAAAGACTTAAAGGATAGTTCAAAGGAGGAATCTCTCTACACCTGAGCTCAGCTCTTGGAGTAAATGAGATAAAACTATAGGGACGCAATTGAAGAAACAAATACGGTTATGTTTAGACTTGGCAGGAGAAATAAATTTACTGGTGGTTTGTGTCTACAGAAGTCCAAGTGGTTATTAAAACAATAAAAAAAATGGTTAATTAGAAGATGCAGGCATCCTAATGATAAGCTTCTCTCATCAGCTGATATCAGGTGGTATAGAACTGGACAATTTTCACATTTCAGGAAGGTGTTACAGTCTCGTACTTGTTTCAAACAGTATATAATATAAACTTTATTTATTTTACAACAATTATGAAACAAGTTATTTCAACTTATATTAATCACGGGTTTTTTTACCCGAATATTAGCGCGGAGGTGCATGTCGTAATGTCGGAAGAAACCGGAGTACCCGGAGAAAACCCACGTGACCGGACAGGTGACCTTATACCTTTTCACTATCGGAGAATCGAACCCTGGCCGCCTTGGTGAAAGGTGGTTGCGTTATACACTGCTCCACCCGACTACCAAACAAGTAATGGAACCAACAAGGATAAAGATCAGGAAAACTACATGACCTTATCCATACAAATGAAGATAATATGGCAGAGTCTCTGAAAGTCGAAAATGTCATCATTCATGTTTGGTGTTAAATTGTATTGAGAGACAAATGGACCAGCATGCACATGTATATAGACTTGGCATGTTTTAATAAACAATACAATTTGTTGAAATGGAAACTAACATGTACAACTAGAAAACGATAAATTATTAACACTAGTTGAGAGGGCTATGAACAAACACACGCCATGAACAAACACAAGCCATTGATAAGGAGCTGAAAACGGTACAAAAAGGCAGTAAAAACATAGATGTCGAAAAGGTTTATGGAAATCTGTTCCAAACAGAGCGGGATACCGGTATCACAGGTTAAGGAACAAGGTAAAACCGTGGAAAAGAAAATCAATCAAAGATTTCAAACAAAGCATAGCAAAAGGATGTGGAAAAATCTGTAAGGATTTCGTATCTAAAACTAACACAAAATTAAGAATATCACATATGTGTGTTTAAGACAGCAACAACAAAAAATGTTGCCGAAAGTGATGGTCGACTTCCATAGTGGTGTCTACACCCATGAACCAAATGGTCAAATACCTCATCTGCCAATAGATTGGTTTGGTTTAGTATTATCAACAAATATGGTCATTTAAGGGCGGCCTCCCCTGAGTGCAAGATGCCTGCGTGTAGTGTATGCGTGTGTGTTTTGGGAGGCTGCGATATGTTCGTGTTTGTCCCCTTGTGATAGCGCGGAACTGAGACCAACTTTATAGTGCCACCTCACTGAAACATCCTGCCGACACTACTAAATTGCTGAGCGTTAAGCAGGAGTATAAACTACCATTTTTACAGGCATGGCTCATCAGAAATGTGCATAGACAGGGACACCACTTAAAAAGACAGATCTAAGATCCAGTCAAAATTCAATGTCCACAAATATCAAGGGATATAGAACGTATAAACAATGTACGTATAATATAAACGCGTCGCAACGTTTCAAGATCGACTGGACCCTTTGTCAAGCTATACCTATAGTAAAACTTTGATGTTACATATTTCTAAACTGATGAATCTTCTTGAATATATAGAATATATTTAATTTTGAATTGTATTTAAAACTTCGACAGATTTTTGTTTTTGCAGAATAGCCGTTGCCGAAATTTCACTTGGATCTATGTCTATTGTATCATCATCATGCTTGTCTTCAGAGGAGCACGAAGACGACCATGGGGGAACTTATACCAGAACATTGATTCAGTGTCAGGGCTGCCATAGTCGACCCTGTAATCACCGTTCAGATTGACCTCGTAATATTCTCCATACCACCAGGAACCATGGAATATTTCAGCGCAGTTCAAGTAGCCAATACCATCGTTGTCACGATCAGGGGTGCTGAAGGATTGATCGTTATTGTAATACAAGGAATTATCTGAAAATAGGAAACACAAATAATGTTACCTTTCAGTCAATCTGATCAGTTCAACATTATATTTGCTTTGTTATCTTCGATAGATATCATCAATACAGGTTCAACTGCAGATAGTACTTGCATAGCATAGTAAGAACACTAATTATTGCTTATTTTGTTTCTAGCAAGAAATGTAATGTCATGAACACTAAGATCCATTATACATCATTTCTATATCAAACGAATCTCCTACGTCCCTAGAGTTATACACACGTTATAACTACTTTTTATAAGTGAGATGGCAGTCAAACGGAACTTACATAACGCCATTCATAATACAATGAATTTAGGAGAAAACCGAAAATGTAATCATGAATATTTAACATCTGCGTAGTGACTTAACGATATTTCAGCAGATTTGATACAAGACTTACGAATATTCCCGGAGAAGCCCTGCACAGTGAGTGTGTAATTGTGTTCTTCGTCGGACACATGGAACATCGAGTACTGGGCGAAGCCTTTTGTTCCGTCCCATAACTCTAGTTCAACACGTAGGCGCCTGTGTGTGTTTGTCAGGTGATGAAGATTGTCATTTCCTTTGAAACATATATGAGTGAAGAATACGACTTACAATTTCATATAAAATAAAACTATACCCCGTACTTTTAACAAACTAACGTATTTACAAAAACAAAAACAAAAAAACATTTAGGATACATTTAAGTTACTTAAATTCACCAAATTAAAAAATGTCATTATCTATTGTATGGGAGGCGCGTCACAATGTGATATTTTGAAGGCAAGAATTATATTACACACCCGAAAATTCTAACTTTGCATACCCTTCAAATATTTTGTATCATGGTTAACACGGTTAAAATCATGATGATTTTATGTCACTTTTGCGTAAGCGGCCTTACCGATCCAAAACTCTCCGTTTAGATCCCCAAATCCGTTCTTGTAGTCTGTCCAATTGCGATAGAAATCGACTCCTCCATCTACTCGTCTCTGGATCACCTATATTTTAATTGATTATACACAAACATGTTAACGTTAGCTAGTGTGGTTGTTTTTTTTTACATCACATGGATTTCTATAGCATTAACCCGATTGAAACGATTGTCCACTATTTTACTAGCATTTGCTATACTGAGTTATCAGGGGCGCAGCTAGTTACTACTTGAAAAGGAACGGGACCAGGGAAGGGCTCTGATGGGCTCCGGTGGTAAAATGAATAAATATAGATCTGTTTCGGGAACATTTTCCGGAGGGTAAATCGCACCAAGTAATTGCAAAATTGAGACATTCTATAATAAAATAATGTGCCCGCATACAGATTTTCTGAAGACATATTTAGTATACCACAAGCAATTTAGTTGATTCACCTGCGTACAGCTACTCGCCTGGTTAAGGGACATAAATATTGCATTTCCGACGACCATAATTTTTTTTTTTTGAAGGGAAAGCAATTTATCATTTTAATTTATAAATTACATTCTACACCAAATCTATATTATCTATTCATATATCAATGCAAATAGTGTTGGTCATCTAACATTATGTGTATACAGAGAGTATTTAATCGTTCATTGCTTGCTTACGAGTAATCATATGTATGTATATTAGCGGTCCAGTTAAGTATGCTTGCATTTGGAAAAAGGTTAATAAAGTTGAAAAAAACACCTTGTGTGTCCAATCACTTAATGAAATGGATATGTATAAACTACTAACTGTGGTGTCATACTTACCGTCCACGGCCCCCCGGCAGTGTCCATGTCACAGAATACGTTGATAACTTTGTTTGCCAGTGTTTTTATCCTATACACACCAGAAGGGGAGCCGACACCTACGTATGAACAGCTCATGTAGTCTGGAAAATTGATTCAACATTCATTTGTTACGATAGAAAGCGTAAATCCTCAAATTCCTCTCAAGATCCTCCTTTTAAAGAATACTATTTTATACGTTTATTGCTGTTACTGTAGGGAAACACGATCCTTTGATTTTTCAAAGTTAACCATGTTTCACGAGGACGAATAGTGAAATCTTATTAACCTCAGAGAAACATAGAATCGTGTTTTCCTACAGTAAGCGCAATACATATTATATTTTGCCGAAAAGATATATATATCAATCAAACATAATAACACAATAGTAGAGATGAGTCGGGTTGACGCGCTATTGTTGTCTGCTTCCGTCATTCGGATCTAGGTTGTGGTGGCTCTTCCAGATTTTCTAGAGAAGCTTCAAATGAGGAAAATATGACCGGGGAAACTCGAGCACGTGTGGGCCATATGGTGTTTTAGTTCCCCGTCGTGTGACCTGTATCATCGAATCAGACACGCTGTTTTAAAGGTGATGTATAATAATACCCTTTCATCCTCACTGTTTGACCCAGGTGCAGATTAAAAAATGCGACAAGTTGTATTTGTTTGCCTGCTAAATTAGAGGATTTTTTTGAACAGCGGCAAGCTTTTCTAGCGGACTGTTGGCGTTTCAATAGGAACAAGTCCTTCAATATTGCTTTCAAATATATCGAAGTTGTGCTGTCCTTTAATATGAAAGTTGATGGTGCAAATTAACAAGTTTTATAGTCGCAATCATGACCTCTTTGGATAAAACTTTGTTTCCTGATGGTGTTTCCTGATTTTCTATTGTGCTCATTCGTGTGACTTGAAATTTTGTTTACGACAGAGCTATTCTCTCTTTAAGGAGGTGAAGTTACTTTGATTTGACCTAGATTCATATGTTTGGTGTCGCCGATGAAGGAAGCAGAAGACAAGTATCCTTTCTGAGGATCTCATAAGGATTTTGTTTACACAACGTTTTTTTTTATTGTTACTTTTTATTTTTGGAAAAAAAAGAGCAGCCCTCTATATTTTGTTAGTTTGCTGTGTGTCTTTCTGTTTACCTTTCGTTTAATTTTCAATCTTATTATTCAATTTAAATCAACGAAGATAAATAATTACCATGTATAAGGTTTGCATTTATCGAAAGAAAATGCAATTATCATGAGCATTTGTATATACAAGAAACAGTTAAATCATACCTTCCTAAATTCAACTGACCTTACAGTAACTCTTTATATTTCATTTGTTATTTATCCAACTTATTGGATGAAATGTTCACCATTCGTGAAAAAATAGAAAACAAGTGTGTACCATACCTGCCTTAAATTCAGTTTTGATTTTTATATTTCGTTGGTTATTTAAAGTTTTAAGCACATATCATAAGTATTAGAAATTAAGTATTTTGTTCTGACAGTTTTCACCACATATGATGTTTGCTAACAGAAACCTTCCCTACATTAGTAGTGAGACATACATTTCTTCAATGACAATGTCAAGCCTTAAGCTTTGACGAGTCTTGGTTGGTTGGTTGAGATTTGTTTGTCTCGTTACTAAAAAGAGGAATGATTTTGCCCCGTTTCCTTCCAATAATTCAGGGATGTACTCTTCTGAGGTTTCAGTCACGTTCAAATCTCGTTTTTACTTAGTATAGCGGGTTTTTTTTTATTAAATATAACAAATTGTGAACAGCTTAAAAAGTAAACATGCATCTGAAAAATGTCTCAAAACACTAGATGCCCATTGTTTCCAGAACTATTTTTGCAGGTTTAAAAGAAAAGACCAATTCTGCGGCCATTTTGAATATCTCAAATATGTGTATTTCTTACACTGTACGCAGTGCAAAAATTCTTACATTTTTGACGTCATATCCATCACTAAAAGTGTCATTGTTCTAAATGTTCGATATTATGAAAACATTATACAACAAAGGGGGAAATTGTACAATATTGGTATTTCGCTACTTATTTATGTCAGCTGTAGCGCTTTTGGTGATCTATGCCGCAAAAGGTTACGGTTTTAGGAAGATAAACACATATTCTTTCGAAACATTCAATATAAGTAAAAGTTTAATACCAGATTTTTTTTTATATCAATCGTAAATCTGCGCAAAATATTTTTTTGAGTTTTTGCAATTCAAAAATGGGTTAGGGGTAATATAAACAGCATTTCTGAGATAAAAAAATATGTTATAGAAATTTTTCTTCCATAATTTAGATATAGATACAATTTTTATCATGTGTGCAGATATTCAGAAATTTCTGAAGGCAACATTGAAAGGTATTTATGTTATTGGTCTTCATACGGTCAAAACGATAAATGTCACAAAAAGTCACACATTTTGATAAATTGGTATGTTTGACCGATCCTAACAAGATAACGAGCACACGGACATACGGTTTCTTTGTATTTTTTGTTTTCTCATATTCTCCTTTTTCCCAAAATCCATATAAGAAAATAGTTTAATACAAGAAACGTTTGTACTTCTCAGAGGAGTACACCCTTTAGAGGATATGCTTACTACGTTAACTACACCAAAACTATGAAGTCATATATTAGAGAATTTGTAAAGATCTTTGAGAGAAACTCTAAAATGTCTGTTTTTACCGCTTGCTGCGACCCAAAAAGAACTTAAAGGCCAGCGCCATCTTGAGACCTAGTGTTAATTTAGTGTAGAGTAGCAGTGTTCCATTGTTTAACGTCTTCATTTGATTTGGTGTTTTATTAGATCCATGGTACTTGAATCTCGTCCTATTGGAAAGTGATACAATAGTTTTTTATAAGTCGTACATAAAGCTGAACTTTTGGAGTACAATGTACTTGGTATATATAATACTGCAAACTTACTTATTTTAGCGTAATCAGATTCTGGATCTTCATCGAATTTTAACAGATTGATGCATTGATAAATTAGCTGGTGCACCCAAAATATATGCACTTGAAAAACAAAATATACAAATTTCAATCGGCCCAGTCATGATTTAGCCAAATATTTAAAGCGCAAAAACCATTAAAATACTACCATCGCTTTTAAAAGTACGTTTAAAGTATGTGGAAAAAAACATGGACGCTTACCTCTAGTAAAGTGCAAAGTTGACATTGACATGTCAGCTTCCTCCTCGTTGTCCGTCTCCTCAAAATAAATCGAGTAGGTATCACATTTGTTGTCGACCTCATTGTATGAGAAGGAAAAGCATCCCTCTGTTTTGCAAAGCGCTGCACAGCTTCCGTGGTTTTTAACCCCAGTATTTGAACTGATGATATAGTCAGATTGATTCTGTGACGCTACATGCATAATTCTGCTATACATATATGGCTGCATCACACCTTCTCCTATGCTTATATAAAATAACAGTAAAACTACGATATTCATTTCCATCATCCAGTACACTTTAATGCATCCGTTGGAATTAAACTTGCGAGCACAGTCTACTGGAATTATATTTGGTTTACTTACTGTCTTACCGTAAACAGCTATTGGTTGTTGCCTTATCAATAAATATCACATGTGAGACACATAAGAAAGATAAAAGTAATCGATAAAGGATAAGGAACGCGGCTAACATTGGTTCCCGCAACATTTCTTCTAGAAATAAAATATCTAGCAAACTGTTTTACATTGCAACGTGCGTTAAATATAAAATGAATTGAAATGCAAACAAATGAAGCTAACGTACACATGTGCTTGGGCTTGGTTTTACACAGTAAGTAATGTGTTAATAACATTTTATCTGCAGTGTTACCGTGCAGGTATGGGGAAATAATGAACCTACTGTATCCAAATGCATGTCGTGAGAGGCGAACAATGCGGAGCCTCATGTAGAATAGCGGGAGTTCTTCTGTATCTTTTATTTAGAGGACATTGAAGCGACCAAAACAGATCTTTTGACCCCATTGCAAGACTTGACTTGGAATCTGTCTTTATCTTTCCATATTACCTTTACCATTTCATTTTAACTTCCGTGTTCACGTGAACAACAAGCAAATACATGTATCAGTTAGCAGTTTTTATCACATACCTATGTAATCTTACAATAGTAATACAACAATTTTCTGTTGGTGTGTTCTGTCGGTTTGTATCAAACATGTGTATTACAAGATGTTGTATCACCATACTAGCCGGAACTACTTTTTATGGGAATCCCATTGGCATGGCGAACTGAAAAGTTTCCGGCATTTGCAAAAAAAATATTTAAGTTTATAAAATCTTTGTATCGATCTCTACCAAATACGGAAGAAATGTGATAAAAGCAAGACCACACACTTGTGTTTTTCTAACGAATCAGAAAGCACTATTGCGCGGACGTATATATTCACTCGTGCGCGAAAAACATAAATTTGTGGTCTTGCATATGTACCACATATTCTGTCTCCGATAATGAATGTTTGTCTTCGAACATCACCATCAGTAGATGCATTTTACAGGTATTAAAAGGTCAAGGCTAAATGATCCAAGGAACAGGTCCAGGGTCTAGGGTCTAGTTTAGTGTTAAAGTAAGGGAAGGTCCAGGCTAATGTTAAAGCAAGGGAAGGTCTAGGCTAACGTTAAGGCTAACGTTAAAGTAAGGGAAGGTCCAGGCTAATGTTAAAGCAAGGGAAGGTTTTTTATACGTCCAAACATCATTCGCTATACTTCGAAAGTGTTGTTCCATTAATTTGAAAGTAACTGATAAGAGATACTCATTGAAATTCACACATATTACATAGATGCTGTAGGGTCGAGTGATTCCAAAATTCTGACACCCTTTTAGGGTTAAAGTATTTTGTTAAAACACCCGAATGTCAATCACCGTAGCACGACGGTGCTGAAGTATAATTATATGACATATTAATGTTCGAGTGATTCCATTAGTGTTCGGGTGATTCCCAAACATCAGTTTAAAACTAACGTACATAGTGATAGTTCCTCACTTTCTAGACGAGCATGGAAGTTAGAAGTACCCCATCTCGTTAAGAAAGACATCTTTCCACTTTGCCTTTGCGACCTCAGTATCTTCACCCAGTCTTGGCAAAGAGTT